CGGTAAAGTCACGTAGAAGGGAAGTAATAAAATAATAAAAATAAAACATAATAAAATAATAAAAATAAAACAAAATAAAATAATAAAAATAAAACATAATAAAATAATAAAAATAAAACATAATAAAATAATTCTCACGACGTTTCGGCCACAACGCAAGCAGCCGTCCTCAGGTGAAGAACAGGTCTGTCGATAAGACAGAGTCTGAATGACACGTCCTGGGCTTGGGGCGTCTATTTAAGCTGGGAGGGAAGAGGAAGAGCGCCTTGACAAGAGAATGTGCAATGTGTTGCGGCACTCACACTGATGATGTCCTATCGGCGAAAGTGGCTGAACATTTGAACATTCGTGAAGAGCCACTGATGTGTGGTCACGTCGTGCCCTCTGGCGGGCACACGCAGCAACAGCGCAGCGTGAGCTGATGGGCGAGGTGACATTTTTGGTAACTTTTTAATAAAAAATAACAAACTAAACACAAGAAGCAGCTCTAAAGAAATGAGTTCTCACCCCAACTCCACGTCAAAACCAAAACACACAAATGTTTGGTTTATTGGCGTCTGGCGGCTGAGCAGGCAGCCCGCTACAGAGGTTTTATTTGCTTTTACTGTACTCAGGCCCATGGACATTAAGTAGAAGAAGTAATATTTAGAAATACTTTTTTTTTAAATCATGCTTAATTAAATGTACTCGTAATGGCAGAACTCCACGACTCCAGGAAGTGGCCCCGAGGCTTGCCACAGCGTGATTTACAGCCAACGTGAGTTGAGCGTGGACAATTAGACCCAAGCCGAAACATACACATATACAAAATATTGTTTAAAAATATATGGTTGGAGTGATGGCTTTGCGGATTGTGTAATCAGAGTAACCATTCGCGTTAAGAACTTGGCGTACGTGTTTGAGTTCACTGGCAATGTGTTTCTGGTCGGAGATGCTTTGGGCTCTATGCATCTCTGATCAGGATCACATTGCCAAGCTCTTAAGGCTAATGGTTACTCCGACTACACAATCCGCAAAGCCATCACTCCAACCATCAAGAAGGATCCTGTTGAGGAGCTTTTCAAAACCATCACCTTACCCGACATTGCTGGGGTCACAAAAAAAGATCTCCAAAATCCTGATAAAACACAAGATCCAGGTCCGATTCAACACAGTACATAAAATCCGTGATCTGGTCCCGTCTGTAAAAGACGTGGTTCCAGACATACAGTATCCTGGCGTTTACAAACTAAGTTTCCTCTGTGGTAGCAGTTACATTGGAGAAACCAAACGACATGTCTCGGACCGCATCCGTGAACATAAAGCAGACTTGAAACACGGTAGGACAAACACCTCAGCCGTGGCAGATCACTGTTACAATTCAGTGGGCTCACATGATCCAGTATAAGCAGAACGGGAAGGAACACTTCCCGTTCTGCATTTCTTCATCTTCCTCATCAGCTTCATCAGCAGCGGAACCAAACTTAGCATTAGGAACAGCAATATGGTCATCATTATCATCATCATCATATGCAGCAGTAGCACCCTTTAATCATCATCAGTACCCATTTATCATCAGAATCTAATTATCATTATCGGCATCATAGTAATTATTACGTCATCATTTTCCACCATCACCGTAAAAATTATGTTCATGTTCGATCATAATTTACATTGTCTGCGCTCGCAGTAGACACAAGTGAATTTCAACCATGGCCTAAATTCTACCCACAGCGTTGAACATTGCCCTCCCACCGCTCGTTAGAGCAAGGAACCACCACGTCACTTTACACCCACCCCTCGAAATCACCCCAAAGACACATTACAAACATCTCCTCATATAGACAGCACGGAGTCTTTGAGCCCCGCCCCCCTCCCTCCCGATACGTTTCCATTCATTGGCTACCACATTCTGATGAGCTCCCCCCCCCTCTCCTCCCCCCCTTCAACTTGCTTATAAGGGATTACATCTTGAATCATTGCCTCACTTGATACAGCTAATTCGGCTGTGACGGTCCCACCTGATGACGGAGACTTGTGTTGCCTCCGAAACGTCGTGATTTTTTGTTTATTTTATTTTAATTAATGTTGATGTTTTTACCTACGTGACTTTACCGAAAAAACCTAAGAATATGAATCCTTACAGTCACGAAAGCTTCAAATCTAGAACCATTACCAGGGGTTGACTAACCAGGGAACACACATCCTTACGTGATACACGTGGGTAATGGATATGTAGTTACACATGTTCATTGTTCACAGATATCATGATGTCGCCCTCTGGCACAATGTCACCTACATTACGTAATCGTCTGGTCAGCCAACTGAATGCTGTTGGCGATTGGGTGTGTGCTCACTAAAAACACCTTCCCCAGAAGTCTGTTAAGGCTTTACGTGGGATCTTTGTCTCTGTGATGCGTGTGAGTGGATGATGACTTGAGTAGGGTCATGTAGCCTGCATGCCCAGCCACCGCATGCCAAAGAAGTTTCTTGTTAGTCAGATAGAGGGGGTGGCTAAATGGAAAATACATACAAATATAAGAGGCGAAGTTATCTTGCAGTAGGCCCTCATTTGATGAGTTATGTATTGTTTGAGTGGCATCACCAAGTAAAATGTAGCGATATTTATGGTGAACTCAGCCTCAAAGGGGTGCCTAGTGCGGTGTCTAAACATCGCCATTGGGGAGGCAAAGGCGGTCGGGCGTGGTGCTAGCCACCCATCCCCCCTTTGTACGTGCAGCTTTTAATAGGTGCTCGCAAACAGCACTTGCCCAAAATGTATGTGAAGGCTTTGTGTGTGTGTGGGGGGATCGGTAGTGTAGAAGGACAGGGAGAAATACAGAGAGTGTGAGAGAGGGACGGGGAGAGACACAGACAGCGAGAGAGTGGCAGAGAGAGACACAGAGTGCGTGAAAGTGCGGGAGATGGACAGGGAGAGATGCAGAGAGAGTTAGTTTTAGAGCGAGACAGTAAGTGGTGTAGCAGAGAGTGCGATTGACACAATGCGTGTGTGGGAAAAAGAGAGGGACAGAGAGTGTGCAATGTGATGGAGAGTGTCTGTTCTTGAGACAGAGCGTGAGACGGAGTGGATCATTGAGAGAGAATGAGAGAGGGACAAAGAGTGTGTGTTTGCGTGAGAGGGAGTGACACAGACACAGTACAGAGAATACAATATTGAAAAATACTTAAAAAAACACGCTTTAATTAAATGTACTGTCCGAGCTGCCCCTCCCCCTGCCCCCTTCCCCCATCGCCCCTCCCCTCCTTCCACATCCCCCGCCCCTCGGCGTGGCTCCCCGAGGCTTGCCGTGACATAAGGGACCGCGGTGATTTACAGCCAACGTTAGTTAAGCGTGGACAATTAGAGCCGTAAAAAAGATCGTTTAAAAAAATATATTTTTAATTTGTAATGATAGAATATAGTATTGTCATCAGTATGACATACCTATACCAAGTTTGCAGTCGATACGACATTGGGAATACGGTTGAAAGTGAGTTACAAAATTTTAGGATACAACACACAGAGTAAGTTAAATAAAAGCGTGTAAAATGTTTAAACATTTTTTTATGATAGAATATAGTCTTGCCATCAGTATGACATAGGTATTTCAAGTTTGCAGTCGATAGCACATTGGGAAGTGGGTAAAAATTTAGTTAGACGATTTTTTTTAGGATACAACAGACGGAGTGGAGTGAGTTAAATAAAAGAGTGTAATAATAAAAACCGCGTGTGAGAATTTGTGAGTGAAACACATGGGGGAGCGCTACCTGGCGACCCAAGTTCCGATTCCCGCTCACGGCCAACACCAGTGACGATAATCTGAACCGGTCCAGGACTTCCCCTCGGGTGACTCAGCCTAAAACGAGTACCTGGTGCGGTGTGTAAACATCGCCACTAGGGAGACAAAGGCGGCCGGGCGGAGTGCTGGCAACCCACTCCCTCGTGTGGCGTGTCGGCCTTCATGGATTCTCACTAACAGCACTTCTCCCATTAATCTGTTAAGGCTATACTGGGGATCTGTGTTTGTTTGTTGAGAGCAACATGCATAGTGGGGAGCGATGGGGTGCAATGGTTAGTCCACTGCGATATAAACCCAGCAACACAAGTTCTATTCCCGCTAACACCATTGACGATTATCTGAACCGATATTGGGCCTCCCCAAGGTCGACTCAGCCTCAAATGAGTACCTGGTGTGGTAAGCATCGCTACTGCGGAGACAAAGGTGGATCGGCGTGGTGCTGGCCACCCAACACCCCCTTGTGGACTCTTCCGGCCTTAGTAGTTGCTCGCTACGAATAGATGATACCTTACCATCAGCCCCACAAACACAAAGTACCTGCCTGGGTATTTTATTTCATAAAATGCTCCATACTTGGGTAGTGTGATTATGACTAGCTCCTGTTTTGGGAGCCCAAGTCTCAATCCGAATCACTCGAGCGGCAGTATCTTTTCATTATCTGCGTAGCGCTGTGTGGAAGCAACCTGGTCTATCACTTCAAATCTCTGGGGTTTCTCCACCACAGTTATGTCGTCACTTCTCTATGCTTGCGAAATGTGGAGCCCTCGAAGGGAACATCTGTGCCGGTTTTAAACATTCAGGCTAGCCTGCCTACAATCTATCCTGGGTTTAATCAGACGATTGTGTGAGGAGCTCACAGATCCTTCAAAGATCTGGATGCATTACCATCATCAGTGAGCCCCTCTTGTAAAGCGAGGGCTGAGTTGTCTGGGTCATATATCCCGCATGTCCATCCACCACATGCCCAATCAGCTTCTCTTTGACTGTATAGTTCGGTCTAAACAGGTGTGGCACAGGCTAGAAAATAGATGGGACTGATTTGGCACAAAACGAGTTGGAACTGTACTGATTGGACTTGTTGATGACTTGTGCCAGCAGTGTCAAGATCGGCCCCTGCGGTGGAGGTTTTGATATAAAGTCGTATAACTTTTGAAAATATCCCTAATCTCAAGGTCTGACCAAAAGTCACCGAGGCACACACATGTTATACTTTACACATTTTTTATATTTATTCACCAGATTACTATTAAGCATGCATCGATTTCCAAATGCTTTAAATATATTACGGATTGTTGTGGCAAATAGTATGTTGCTTCGTGTGAATCCGTTTTGAAAAAGAAAGTTTACATTTCATGAGAGCAGCTTTCAGTCTCTCACATTATGAAGGATCATTGCCATTTTCCACCCCAACTAGCAAACCGTCTTACCCAATCAAATATACCATGATTTTTGGAATACCACAAAAGAGTTAAAATGTTCATTTTGTATATATTTCCATGAAGTATTTTCTTCATTACATTTTTCCATAGTTTTATTACGCACACTATGATAATGTTTTTTTTTATATCAGCCCATTTACACAGAGGCGTCTCAGGTAACTTTACATGTGACAAGCTAATTGCATTACAAACTTGTTTTTTTTGCAGCCTCCTTGTGCAAAACCAGTCTTGTCTTTATGTAGTTATTAAACCAAAACTCACAAACTCATGGGCTGTGTTGACCAGGGAAGGTGAAAGTAAATCACCAATAACCTTGCCACGGACACACTTTTAGACAACCTCCATGAAGGACATTCTCCCTGTGGAACGCATCATCTCGTCTGGATGCGCCGATCATTGCAGTGGTCCCCTAGAAGATCCATAGATAGCCTCTAAGTACCCCTACTGCTCAACAGCCATTGCAATTAATGTATGAGAGACGCGAGTTGATGGCCCAGGTCAAAATATAACAAATAAATGCATCGTACATAGTTTAGACAGTACTTAATTTTGCTGTCATGTAAAATCAGGTTGGGCGAAATATTTTAGACAGTCCATGAATTGTCCATTGTGTCAACGTTGAATCAAGCAACATTGAAAAATAGAAAGTTATGTATTCATCTCCTGTCAATGCCAACAATCACCCTTCCACCTTGGTTAAGTGGTTTTCACATCATATGCATTTTTGCTCTGCCAGGCCCCATTACAGGTGTTGCAAATCCAAAATACCATGTTATAAACCATCAGAGTTGTCTGATTTGACCCAAAACCTTTGTTCATCTATTGACTTGCAAACCTTGTTACATTCTGGTGCATTTAAAATACAGTATTCAGCGATATGAATGAACATTTTAACAATTTACAATGAGTATTTTTTTACATATTGATTGCCTGCATTAATTATTTTGATTTACGGTTCCCATAATTAATATTCATGATCTATAGTATTGTGTCGGTGCAGGACGGTATAAGAGACTACTGCATGTTCTGGTGAATCCAGCCCAAGAACTTGGTGACCCTGCTGTAAACACCTGGCAGGTAAGGCCGTGCACAGCCATAGCCCCAGCTGGTGATTCCAGAGAGGTACCAGCGGCCGTTTGAGTCCTGGCAAACCAAGGGACCCCCAGAGTCTCCCTGCAACAGACACACACACACGACACCAATGTTAGAAGTTGACTGACGAACAAGAAGGCCTGATGGAGCAATGATTACAATGATCCAGTATAAGCGATGGCATGTCATGATACCAAAGATGGGATGTCAAAAGGCCCGACAATTAGGTTTAAATGTTCAGTGCAAAGAGCAGTACAGCTGAGGAGAGCTTGAAATGTTCAATGGGACTGGGATCCTGAATGAGGACATTGTTGTTGAAGCTCCAGTTGATGTTGGTCCACCCACACTCCTTCCAGTAAATTGGCACCAAAATGTGTACGTGAATTGACTGGAAAAGTTTGCTTTCCAAGTTCCCCCTGGTGGAACATAATTGGGCCCATAGTCGTCATGTGCTTCAGATGTTTTTTAGGAAATAGAGTTGCGTCTTGTTGGTTGTTATCGTCGCTCACCTGGCAGGTGTCCACCCCTCCTTCGAGGTAACCTGCACACAGCATCCTATTGGTGATTAGAGATGGGCTGTAGGCCTGCGGCCCTGGGGTGATGCACGTCTTGAAGATCTCTACTGAAGCCTCCTGAAGCCGGGTGGCTGTGTAGCCTGTTAAGTACAAGAATTCGTGTTGGAAACCGTGTACCCTTTCTGCTTGTTAAAGTACTATATTTCATCAAGACTTAGATTGTGGTTTCTTTAAATTTTAACAACATAGCACCTGTATATCAGCTTAATGTCTATTACAGATATTCCTTGAGCACCAGAGAGCTCTGCTACCCAACCGCCATCATTATTCCAATGGATTTTACAAAAAACTAGTTTCCTAACAAAGATTTGGGCCTCCATTACATCAAAGGAACTGTTCAGTAAAAGAGGTGTATATTATATTTATTTTTCATTATACAAACATTCCCCCTAAATAAAATAACGTTCAACTATCGATTATGTTTTCCTTGTGCCGTCGGAAAATAACATTGCACCGATTCATAAATTAACATCACGATACATGCCTTGAATCGTGGGCATAGCAATGCATTTTTTTTATATTTGTATATGTTGTACATTAGAGGTGCTACATTTAACACAACGTAAACGACTCAAGGGTTGTAATCCTGAGTTTAAACAGAAGGACACTGCTTTCTATGAGGAGATCGATTTTATTAGAATGTTAATCGGGTCGTGTGGAGGCTCAAAACATGACAATACTGTGGTTCTTCCACCATAGACACTAAGATATGGAAACTAAATAATCTCTCAAACTATGCTCTATTTAGTGGTCAAAGTATCTTCTGAAACCACGTGTTTTCCCAGGTTTGGAATATTTGACCTATGGACTTACCAGCTTCAAAAAGTCTTCCCCAACCAGAAATGAAGCATGATTTCCCTGGGTAGGGAAACTTCTGAAAGCGAGGTGGGAGGCAAACTGGCTGTATGTAATCGGTGAAGGAAACACGTTCTGACAGCTCCATAAGAGCAATGTCATAGTCATGGCTGCTTCTGTTGTAGCGCTCGTGGATGAGGATTTTGTTGACGCTTCTGGCCACGACAGTTGAAGCGCTGAGATTGTTCTGAGAGTGCAGGCCCAGGTATACCATCCAGGTGTTTGGGTTGTTACTAGGCAGGTAAATACACAGACACCACAGTCAGCATCAAATACCACAGGGCATATTGTTTTTTTTTAACAAGGTAAGCCTCAATGAGTCTCAGGACTTTTTCAGGAGGGTCCTGCTAAGTTGTTTCGGTAGGGGTGATGACAGAGTAATTGGTGTGGGTCATTTTTACAAGTAATCAAATTTGGACTATGGCGCCAGCACGCATCACGATTGCAAGTGCACTACGAAAAATCATACCTGAATGTGAAAAAAAATCTGAGATGCTTAATCACTCTTATATTCATGCCTCTTTCTGCAATAAAATTCTACAAACATCTTCTAATGGTGTTGTGATTCATTGTGCGATTGGGAGGAGCGGTGGTTCATTGGTTAGCACACTGCACTTATGAACCTGTTGACCCACGTTTTAATTCCCCAAGTTTGATTCCCAATCACAGATCAAGTTATTCGTGACCAGTGTGGTGAGGTATGGTCGAACAACACACCATGACCAACACGGTGTGCGAAGGCCTTCATTCCAAAAGCGGTCTGACAAAGGGCTGCAAGTTGTGATTATCAAACTTTTCTGCTGTGTGTGTAACATTTAACACAATTCATCCTTTTAAAGTATGACAAATAAAAATAGGTTTTACCCTTTCTGGCAATAAAACAGGTGTTAAGATGTTCAAACACCTTCAACAAGGAATCAAGTTTGGATTAACCACACGTACTTGTGGTGAACATGCAAACAAACTTGCTCTGATAATATATGCATTATCTTTGAAATCGATTGGCCTACACCAGAGACAGCCTTCCTTAGGGCCTAGCCTTACCAATGTCAGACCAGAGAACGTCAAAAGGCGAACAGTACCAGGACAATGCACGTATCAGAGCATTTATAGCTCAGAGTAAAGTGTTAACAAGACATGTGAAGTAACAGAAACGCTCACCTATCGAAGCAATGAGCAGCACTCACAACCCAGCGGTCACTGAGGAGGGAGCCCCCACAGGCCAGTCTGTTGAAGTAGTGCAGGCTCGCTTGCCAGGGCCATTCTCCGAGCCTTGCTTCGTAGCCTCCCACGATCCGGTTGTTCACTCTGCGTTCTGCTACGGGGATCCAGCCACATTCTGAAAAACGACAAAACACAATTACTACTACAATACAGGTTTTTGGGGTTAGATCGCATAAATATACATATCGTTAAACCCGACACAGCCAACAAGTAAGTGTTGTCACGTAAAAAGAACACGCCAATTCGCCACTAGTACAGCACACCGGTGTGTTGGAGAGCCAAGCCACAACATTTACAATCGGAGTACACATTTTTGCCAGTAATTACAACTAGCTTCATTAGACAGCAGCCAGATTTGAGGATAAGTCCACCTGTTTCGTTCATTATATAGAGGCGTAGATGTGATGACAACACTTGTGCGCTCTTCTCGTCCAAGGTGGGGGGGGGGGGGTTAATGAATCAACGTACATTATGCGTGTGCATTATGCGAGCCCATTGATCTTGTACTTCCTGTCCATTGCTTGTGTAGGGGTTATTACGGGAGAAAAGGCGGACGAGAAACACAGGGGTGTCTGCACCCACACACACGGGTGGCCACACCGACGTCCGCATCCGTTACCCCCCATAACCCCGCCCCTCCGAGGGGATCTCTATAAAAGGCGGGGAGCCAGAGAGCTCGGGGCCAGTTCGACACGAAGCTGACCAGTGAAGACTGAAGACTCTGAGATTAGGCCCTGGGACTCCCCTGTCTCGCTGCCCTTGTAAGGGCCGAGCTGGGTAAGCCAGCGGCGCGGCCCAAGAGCTCCCGGACCTCTGCCCTTGTAAGGGCAGGGCCGGCTTAGCTGGTGCCGAGATCTTTGCTTACCAGGGCCAGATCAGACAGCCTCCCGTAGCCCATTAGAGGAGGACTGGGGAGCAGGACAGAGGGCTTAGTACTAGGGTGGTTTCCCAGATAGTACGGGTGAAGGGGCCGTTACCCCTTCAACTATTGTGTCTGTCCCTGAGTTAATAAAAAGAGTGTGCCTCAACTTCGTCGTCCGCCTCCCTGCAACTCACTACACTTGTACCAAAATAGCCGTACCAGAGACAGCCGTCTTTAGGGCCTAGACTCACCAGTGTCAGACCAGAGAACGTCATCATCATTGTTTGCCATCTTCATAGATTCATCTATCATTTTAATATTGATCAACCATGGTTTATTCATTGCTAGATGAAGACGTCTCTCATGCACAACGATTTTGCTTACAGTTTTACGCTAGGCACTATATTTTGCAAAACAATAGATCATGAAATCACATTTCGAACTTACAATTACTGTCGTAAATTATAATTTACCCATTTTTGTATTACTCACGGAATTTGTACAAGAAGCGAATGAACCAAAGGATGGTCAGTATATACTGTAAACCGATAAATTAAGAATTAATCAATACCTTTGCTGGCTGGTAGTGGGTCAACTTTGTAGAACTCCAAACTGAAGCCATATTCTGAAACAGGAAATGAGAAAACATTTCACGTGAATATTGTGTACAATACAAAACGTAATACAGCTATAACCAAGTCAGATGTCTTAGAAAGCAGCAACAATATCGCGTACAGTACAAAAACTTAAAACAGTTATAACCGAGTTTAACACTTAGGCTTTCACGACCAATATCATCAATAAGAAGTTTTTTAGTGTTCGATCGTGTAAATAAATAAATAAATTTTGACTTTCAATATATTCATGTGTCGTTAAAACCCGCCACCACTCAACACAGCCAACTAGTAAGGGTTGTCATGTAAACAGAACATGCCAAATTGTCACTGGTACAGCACACCGGTGTGTTGGAAAGCCAAGCCACAACATTTACAATCTGAGTACGAAGTTTCGCCAGTAATTACAACTAGCTTCATCAGGCGACAGCCAGATTTGTGGAGAAGTCCACCTGTTTCGTTCCTTATATAGAGGCGTGGATGTGTTGACCATACTTCTGCGCTCTTGCGCAAAGTGGGGGGCGGGGATTAATGAGTCAACGTACATTATGCATGTGCATTATTCTAGCCCTTTCATCTTGTCCTTCCTGTTCATTGTGACTTTTAAAATAGCTGTACTAACGATAATCCCTATTGAAGTGTGGTGCCCTTTATAGGCATGCATTTAAATAATGTCTTATTTGATGGTCGTATGTGGTGGTGTATATCATCTCTCCCACAACGTATGGGTGGTGACACCGCATGACATGGATGGGAGGCAGGTAGATGACACATGAGGGCAGCTAACAGTGCAAAATGAGATCAGGCAGGTTAGGGTTAGGATAAGCTCGTGTGAGAAGAAGTTCTAATATATTTTAATGGGAATGCAATTTTATTTTCCATTTAATAAAGGTAACAACCACAGCCTGCACCGTCCCCGAACAGCCACAGCCTGCGGCATCCCCGAACAACCACAGCTTGCGGTGCCTCCGAACAACCACAGCCTGCGGCGGCCCTGAACAACCACAGCCTGCAGTGGCCCTGAACAACCACAGCCTGCGGCACCTCCGAACAACCACAGCCTACAGCGCCCCTGAACAGCCACAGCCTGCGGCGGCTCGGAACAACCACAGCCTGCGGCACCTCCGAACAGCCACAGCCTGCAGCGCCCCCGAACAACCACAGCCTACGGCGCCCCCGAACAACCACAGCCTGCGGCACCTCCGAACAGCCACAGCCTGCCGCGCCCCCGAACAACCACAGCCTGCGGCGGCCCCGAACAACCACAGCCTGCGGCACCTCCGAACAACCACAGCCTGCAGCGCCCCTGAACAGCCACAGCCTGCGGCGGCTCTGAACAACCACAGCCTGCGGCACCTCCGAACAGCCACAGCCTGCAGCGCCCCCGAACAACCACAGCCTGCGGCGGCCCTGAACAACCACAGCCTGCAGTGGCCCTGAACAACCACAGCCTGCGGCACCTCCGAACAACCACAGCCTGCAGCGCCCCTGAACAGCCACAGCCTGCGGCGGCTCTGAACAACCACAGCCTGCGGCACCTCCGAACAGCCACAGCCTGCAGCGCCCCCGAACAACCACAGCCTACGGCGCCCCCGAACAACCACAGCCTGCGGCACCTCCGAACAGCCACAGCCTGCCGCGCCCCCGAACAACCACAGCCTGCGGCGGCCCCGAACAACCACAGCCTGCGGCACCTCCGAACAACCACAGCCTGCAGCGCCCCTGAACAGCCACAGCCTGCGGCGGCTCTGAACAACCACAGCCTGCGGCACCTCCGAACAGCCACAGCCTGCAGCGCCCCCGAACAACCACAGCCTGCGGCGCCCCCGAACAACCACAGCCTGCGGCGGCCCTGAACAACCACAGCCTGCGGCGCCCCCGAACAACCACAGCCTGCGGCGCCCCGAACAACCACAGCCTGCGGCGGCCCCGAACAACCACAGCCTGCGGCGCCCCCGAACAACCACAGCCTGCGGCGGCCCTGAACAACCACAGCCTGCGGCACCCCCGAACAACCACAGCCTGCAGCGGCCCCGAACAGCCACAGCCTGCGGCACCCCCGAACAACCACAGCCTGCGGCGGCCCCGAACAACCACAGTCTGCGGTGCCCCTGAACAACCACAGCCTGCGGCGCCCCCGAACAACCACAGCCTGCGGCGCCCCCGAACAACCACAGCCTGCGGCGCCCCCGAACAACCACAGCCTGCGGCGGCCCTGAACAACCACAGCCTGCGGCGCCCCCGAACAACCACAGCCAGCGGCGCCCCCGAACAACCACAGCCTGCGGCGGCCCTGAACAACCACAGCCTGCAGCGGCGCTGAACAACCACAGCCTGCGGTGGCCCCGAACAGCCACAGCCTGCGGTGGCCCCGAACAACCACAGCCTGCGGCACCCTCCAACAACCACAGCGTGTGGCGGCCCTGAACAACCACAGCCTGCGGCAGCCCCGAACAGCCACAGCCTGTGGCACCCTCCAACAACCACAGCGTGCGGCGGCGCCTAACAGACTGGTCAAGTAAATCCTTACAATTCACTCGCACAGCGTGCGGTGGGCCTTCATCCAGCAGTGGATTTAAGCACCAAAAAAACTCGAGTCCTAATGTAATGGACAGAGCACGGCTCTCCCTCAGGGCAGCAGCAGAGCGAGCACGGCTCTGCCTCAGGGCAGCAGTGGAGAGAGTGCGTCTGGCTCCCTCACGGTAGCAGTGGAGACAGCGCGGCTCTACCTCCAGCCAGCAGTGGAGAGCACGAGGGTTCCTCAGGGCAGCAGTGGACAGAGCACGGCTCTGCCTCACTCTCACTCACCCATCTCCTCTGAGCTGCATGCGATTGTGTGTGAGTGTGAGTGAGCTATATATGAGTGAACCGTGTGAGTGGATCGACCGTCAGCTTCCTCACTCTGACTCACCCGTCTCCTTTGAGCTGCATACGATTGTGTGTGAGTGAGTGTGAGTGAGCTGTGTGTATGAGTGAGCCGTCTGTGAGTGAATCGACCGTCAGCATTCTGTAGCTGTATCTCTGGGGCTTTGGCCATGATGTTGCTGCTTCTCGAAGTGGGCAGCTTGCGGTCACGTGACGCACTTCAACCAATCCGGGGGCGTACATGTTTGGGAGGGGCGCACCTCTGGTTGGCTGCTAGCTCGCGGTCACGTGACATACTTTAACCAATCTGGGGGCGTTAATCACAGTCACAGAAGGACAGATCTGGGCTATTATATATGTGTATACCCAAGAATGATTCAAGATGATTGCTCCAGTATGGGTTAAACAAGATGGTCTGGAGTCCGCGTTTGCCCTCTAAACAAAGTGAGCGTCTGCCATCAACACGCAGCAAACGTTCCTGAAAACTCTCCTTAGACCCGGCGCCTCCCATCAGCAACGGCCGGCTGCGAAATAATGTCAGCGTACATACGTAAGCACGTACACACACGTGTACAAAACAAGGATACCTTGCATGAAGTTGTCCGAGACTTGAAACACGAGCGTCACGTTGTTGGAGAGGGAGCGCACGCCCGGCGGCAGAGATTGGCCGCAGAATCTGCCCAGTGAATGTCCCCGCTGCTGGGCACCGCCGTCGTACACGGTCAGGGAGCTGTTGCCACACAGCTCGCTCCCCGGTAGCCTTTTTTAGGGTGAGAGGTAAGAGACAAACTGTGTAAACAGCGGTTTGTTTTGGTCAGGAACGGTTAATAATAAATAAATGAAATGGCGAGTGCCGTAACTTTGGGCCTGTAGAAAAGTTTCGACGCAACGTGGGAGTGCTCACCATCCGTGTGCGTGGGGAACGGAGTAACGGGTTAGCGTGCTGAACCGCTTCTGGGCCTCCCCTAGGGTGACTCAGCCTTAAATTAGCACCTGGTGCGATTTGTAAGCATCGCCACTGAGGAGACAAAAGCTGTGCTGGCCTTCGTAGGTGATCGCTAACAGCACTTGCCCCAACAGTCTGTTCAGGCCATATGGGGGGATGTTTGTAATTTGTCTTTGGGGTGATTTCGAGGGGTGGGTGTAAAGTGACGTGGTGGTTCCTTGCTCTAACGAGCGGTGGGAGGGCAATGTTCAACGCTGTGGGTGGAATTTAGGCCGTGGTTGAAATTCACTTGTGTCTACTGCGAGCGCCTATCTATGGCAGACAATGTAAATTATGATCGAACGTGAACATAATTTTGACGGTGGTGGTGATGGAAAATTATGACATAATAATAATGCAAATTAATTGGATTATGATGATAAATCGGTACTGATGATGATTAAAGGGTGATACTGTTGCATATGATGATAATGATGACCATATTGCTGTTCCTAATGCTAATTTTGGTTCCGCTGCTGATGAAGACGATGAGGAAGATGAAGAAATACAGAACGGGAAGTGTTCCTGAGAAAGCCACACTTCTAAGACTCGTTTTGAAGCTTGTTTCACATGCGGGAAGAAACTATTTTTGTTTTACCACATAAGGCCCACTGAGCTCTACAGCTCTTTTTCAGAAGCAACTTGGCCACACATGATAGCCCAATGACGTGGCTTATGTGGAAATTTATAGCAACCAAATCATCTTAAACGCATGTTTCTCAATGTGCAGGGAAAAACTGGAGGATATGGAGAAAAATCCACGCGACCACAGGGAGAACGTGCAAACTCCAAATATACAGTAGGCATCAGGGTTGAGATCGAACCCATGTGCTTCTGTATACCAGGTGAGGTAGTTCACATCTCGCCACTGTGGCGCCCCAGTGCCCACAGGCAACACTTGAACAAATTACACTCAAATATCTACACAGATTGAAGAACCCATTTCTATACCGTCTTCTCCTGGCCATCTCAGCACACTCACCTGTGCTGTCGCCAGGAATCATAAATACGTCACAGGGTTCAGAGTGCGATGCACGAAGCACTGTGCCATCACTCCCCACATTAAACTAAACTATTTTTTATTTGACCAAGTAACGCCCACTGAGCTATGTCGTTTTTTTTTCATAAACGACCTGGCCACACATGAAAGCTCAAAGAAGTGGCTTATCATGGGGAAATTTATAGCAGCCAAATAGTGGGGCGTCACTTTGGCAAGATATGAACTTCCTTTAACTCCCTCGCCTGGTATTCAGGAGGGCATGGGTTCGATCCTGACCCTCACACCTGTATATTTCGAGTTTGCATGTTCTCGCCGTGGTTGTGTGGATTTTTCTCCGGGTCCTTCAGTTTTTCCATCCACATTTTAGAATCAACGTGTTCAGAGTATTTGGCTGCTCTCAATTTCCACATGATAAGCCACTTCGTTGAGTTATAATATGTGGCCTGGTCGCTTCTGAAAAAGAGCTAGATAGCTCCGTGGGTGTTACCTGCTAAAATAAAAAAATGTGTATAGTTTTATACTCTAAACCCATGTTTCTAAACGTGGAGGGAAAAACCGGAGGACCCGGAGAAATTCCCACACGAGCATGGGGAGAACACGCATACTCCAAATATATATGTAACATGATTCCCAGCCGACCCATGTGATGGAGCTCGATTGGCCAGTGTGTCCACCGAGGGAACGAGTGTGCTGCTGATAACACACGCACCTCCATTCTGCTTCAAACTCCCGTGCATGTTAATGGAGTGCACAGTGTTTCTTGCTGTTGTTCGTAGGACAGGGCTTTACCCATTCTGAATGGTGGGAATCGAGCCAAAATAAAACTGTCAGGGTGAATCGGGCAGAATAAATTTTGTGCAACTTGTAGAGTTCTACAATTTCGCGAACGTGCGGTATGTAACTCTACAGGAATCAGGCATTTTAAAATAAATATTATTAATATCAATATATATTAGTAAAATTGTGTGTTACTTGTGATGCCACAGCAATGGAGCAGCTCTGCCGGCGCTGCTGCCCCCTCACAACCCCTCACACGAGCACATACATATTCCCCCAAGTAGGACCACGTGGGGGAGTCACCTGGCCTCTGGGTTTTCATCCGAGAGCCCCCTGGTGCGGGTGCTCCATGGTTTCCCGGAGCCATGGAATTGGCAGATTCCCCCCAGGTCGAATGGCACTGCCGCGCCGTGATTAACTTAAAATTGTATGGCCACGGCAAGCCCACTAAGCAACCGCATTGAGAACATACCTAATACAGGGGAAGTGAGGGGGAGCCTTGGAGGGAGCCGAGCTTACAGCGGGCAGCAGGGAAGGCAGCTCAAGTAAGGGGCAGGGCAAGAGTGTAAACAATGGACTAGGGCACCGTGGGGGGGGCTAAGCCAGATAGTTGGGGGCAGGACGAGCGCGCTTGAGCACCAAAGACAACGCAGCAGCCCAAGTGGATCTCTTTGAAGAGAGGGGGTTAGGCCACGGGTAAGTGCCCGATTGGCTGCGTGGATTAGGGTCCAGATGGACTGATGGAGTACGCAGGGGAGGCGATCTGATTGGCTGAGAGGACCGCCCAGCTTAGTTGGGGACCTCTTTGATGTAGAAAGGGATAACAGGGGAGGGGAGAGGACGACTGGGTTGGTCGTCTTCTTCTCAAGTCAGCGAGCCACGCGTTCAGCCTTCCAGCCACTCGAGCGTCCGAGTGACGCTACCGAACGCAGCTGGGACACGACACGCATGCAGGGAGGGATCTCCTGCACCCTCGTCTCTCCAACTCCCAACACGGCCGTGGAAAATCGTGAGTACGTACGAGGGCTTCGTGGAGAATAGCGTGAGGACTCCACAAGGTCTTAATTTGAGATAGGCGAGGATGGTTTGGAACAGCCGGGTGAGACGCTGCTCGCTGGGTGGTTTTCGGCTCTGGGTCACGTAGCATTTATTGCAGTCACGCCGGGAAAAAAAACTCTACCATAAAATATCGACGTTGTGCGGTGGGAGTGGTGTGGTACAGGTGCGAGCAACAGGTTAACGCGCGAAGCAGCCTACGCGTGACGATCGTCGTCCAGTCATCTTTGTGCCCGGGTTTTGCGCGCGAATCCCGTCGGCGTTCATTCATCATTATGCCCAGGTTTTTGCGCGCGAGTGCGTATTCACCCTGCGCGTTTTATGCAGTGGGTTCTCGTTGCGACGCTCGCCTTAAGGGGGTCGGCGTGTGCGTAATTCAAGCACGTGGTGCTGGGAATTAGCGTGCGAATATCTTCATCAGCGCGACTACCTGTACCCACGTGTTTGCGCTCGCCCAGGCGCGTTTGCCCTGGGATAAACGCGCGTGTATTGTCATGAGTGGCTCGTCGTGGTGCTGGGAATTAGCGCGCAAATATCCTCATCAGCGTGACCACCTGTACCCACGTGTTTGCGCTCGCCCATGCGCGTTTGCTTGGGGATTAATGCGTGTGTATTGTCATCAATAGCGTGCCGTTACCCTGAGAATTAACGCGCGAATCCTACCATAATTAATTCGCCGTTGCACGTGGTGGTTGCGCCGTTGTTGTTGGTGGTAGTGACTGCGCCCGCGCCCGCGCATATTCATATGGCTATTTTTTGCGCGAGCCGTGGGCAGCAGCATGCACGGGTACGCGCGCACAAGGAGTCACCTCCGAGCATTTTGGGGAGTGTATGCGGGGAGTGCGTGGGTAACCCCAGGCGGCGGAGGGCCAGCCCTGAGTCATGCCCCACAGGGAGGACGCGGAGGCGGCGAGGCCGATGACTCGATCGGCGGCAGCCCGGCAAGAGAAAAAGGAGGTTGAAGGGGGAGAGGAGTCGGGGAGCATCAGCCCCCACATACTCACTTGAAGTAGTTAAATTGCAGCTTGACAAAATAGCCATTAGGAACTGTAATGTCCACAGTGCAGAACATATTTGTTGCAGAGCCCAGGTCATTAAAGCTGTTCATTCTGCCAGAGTCGCCTTGCAAACTCAATGAACACCGATCAATGCCTGTCAAAAGGATTACATTACATAGAGATGACATTGAGACATCAGTCATTGAATGCAGACATCGATGTAAAATACATATTTGTTAAATGTTCAGTATACGTATACTGAACTTGACTGCCCATATAACATACGGTATGATGTACGGTACGCACAGGAATACAATAGATATTTTATTTATATTATTTTTCCCCCAATTATATCCTGCTTGTGCGATCAGTGTTCCCTTATGGAGATGAATCCATTTTAAAGTCTTCAATATTCAATAGCAGTCTGCAGAAGCAGCTGTCAGGGAACTACGTCTGTGACACACATCAATTTTCGAAACTATAGGGTGAAGCATTTTCCCACCTGCCCTAATAATAAAAAATTCTCAAAGCCAAAGCCGAGTGCGATGTCAAATTGAATGTGATAGTTTTGGTGTTTGATCATCGGCGACTGGGCTGAGACCACCAACTCACTAGACCTGGGAACCCGGCTCCATCATGACCAGCCACCTGGATTCCCACTGAGGATCTCATCAGTGTCAGCTCAGGGCTCTGATTTCTGAGCCATGTGGTGGCCACTTTTCATAACCAGGCGTATTTTTTTAAGTATACCCGGGCAGTACGCAATTCCAATTATTTTACCAAGTATAATTTTTGAGCGATATGCATTCATAATGATTCTACAGTCTGTTCTAGAAAGCTGTAGGAGTTGCGTACCAAAGAAAAAGTGGGTAGCATCTATAATCATCCAGCAGCATCCCGCCTTGTGTGATGCTACACCGAGGCAGCCATACTACCACTTATTCCTACTCACGCGACGTAGTTCTGTTCACTCAATCGAGTTATGTCCAATTCGCGTTATAAAAACACGCAGCGTTATAGGAAAACAGACTACTGTACATCTCTCTCCCATCGCTTTCATAGCGCCCTTCTGAATAGATGTTAATTCTTTCTCTTACACGTCTTCTAAAACGTAGATATATTCTTTCATCTTACTCGACCTGTCTTAATCTTGATTTGAAGCTTTCGTGACTGCAGAAATCCATACTCTTTGGTTCTTTTGGTAAAGTCACGTAGTTAGAAATAAAATCAAACAAATCACAACGTTTCGATCGCAACACAAGCAATCGTCATCAGGTGGGAAAACTACAGCAAGAAACAACTGCTGAAGAAGGCGAGAGAGCTGCCGTGGCATGAGGTTATATCTTCTTCTTTCTTCTCTTATATATAAGTCTCCTCGCGCTCGCGGTTGCAGGGAATTTGGCTCTCTGACGGTGGCCTTCACGTAGAAAATAATTTGCCAGGCTGCACGCCCTAAGCCCCGCGGTGGGAATAGGCTATTCCGTTTTCCCATCCGTAAACTTTAAAGTAGTTTAATTAACACTTGTGCAGTTTCTATTTTTAATTTTATACTTATTGCGCGACATCGACCGTACCAACTGTCGGAAATTGCGTGGAAGGGGGGCGGACCTTGCCAAGTCATACGCGTTCGGTCGAGCTCACGGTGGACATTTCCTTTTATGCGTTTTACAGGCAACACATAAACACATAATGCTGCGGATATTTCTTCACAGTGTCATGTCCTCTTCGCCCCCCCCCCCCCCCCCAACACGATGCGTCCAGTTTATACTACAGACTCTGTAGATAATAATATGTTACTGCTTACATAGCATTATTCTTGCACGGGCGGGGGATGCTTGGGAGGGGGGGGGGGGTAGCGGCCCAGCCCCGAGCCTGCCAACGTGCCAAATCCGCCGCCTCGCCAATGTAGGCCAGGACGGGGGCTACCCATGGTACAAGGCCTCAACACGCCTATGGTAAGTACAAATTTCCTTGCTTACGCTAACAACTCAAGTCCATTGTTTACTATTGTTAAACACATTAGTTGACAAACATTACAATAATAATGTTTGTGTGCAGATAAAAAGTCAGTTTCATTGCTTACTATTATGAAACAAATACGTCGCCACATATTACAATAATTCTCTTTGTGTGCACATAACAACTCTGCTTCATTGTTTACGATTATTAAACTAATCAGTTGCCAAATCTTACTATAATAATGTTTGTGTGCAGATAACAACTCTGGTTCATTGTTTACCATTATGAAACAAGTTGACAGATGTTACAATAATTATGTTTGTGTGCAGATAACAACTCAGGTTCATTGTTTACCATTATGAAACAAGTTGACAGATGTAACAATAATTATGTTTGTGTGCAGAAAACTAATATTTCATATTAAGTTCCTAAATTTCTTTTATACCTGTGTTTTTATTACGCTGCGACGGTGTACTGCCAGTTTGCGGTGTGGCCTGCTGCCTGCTGATTAATTAACGTCAGTGCACTGCCACTCTATTATCTACGCTGTTAATTTTGCTTTTGCCCATTATGAGTGTATGCCAGTTTATAATCTTTTGCCTGCTTCTTTACCTCACTAAGTGTACTGCCAACCTTTAATGTCCACTGTATTCTGCTTTTTCAGCTGCTGCCCGTATTGCAAGCTTTTTATGTCGACTGTGGCAATGCTTATGTCATTCAGTCGGCGAACTGGCAGTCTATAATCTAGACTGTAGCCTGCTTCTCTACTTACCTGTGCGCACTGCTGCTCTTTAATTTACACTCATTTCAACTTATTTCTTCTATGCATATATATGCTCATGTCACACTATTTACTCATACGTTGTACTGCGATGCTGATAGCTGTGCCATCATCGGGGATTGCTGTGCACGTCGATGTGTGCGTGTTTGAGTCGATATGTGTGTGCATGTAGGTCCATGTGTGTGTTTAAGTCCATGTGTGTGTCTGTATTTTTCGAACAGACAACGCCCAATGTGTGTGTCTGTACGTCTAAGTGTTTGTGTGTCAGTCCATTTGTGTGCGTATCAGTCGCTGTGTGTGTGTTAGTCCATGTGTGTATGTTCGTCGACGTGTGTGCATGGCTCCATCTGAGTGTGTAAGTCAATGTGCTTTTGTGTGTCTATGTGTGTCAGTCCATGTGTGTGTGTCTTAGTCAATATGTGTGTGTGTGTAAGTATATATGTGTGTTTACGTCAATGTGTGTGTGAGTCCACGTATGTCTGTGTGAGTCCACGTATGTCTGTGTGTGAGTCGCTGTATGTGTGTACGTCGATATATGTGTGTGTAACTCCATGTGTGTGTATCTCAAGTGGATGTCTATGTGTGTGTGAGTCCATATGTGTGTGTGTGTAAGTCGATGTGTTTGTGTTTGAGTCGATATGTATGTGTGTGTGTCTCAGTCCATGTGCGTGTGTGTTAGTTGCTGTGTGTGCATGCCTCCATGTTAGTCAGTGTAAGTCCATTTCTTTGCGTGTCTGTAGGTCCATGTGTGCATGTTAGTCCATGTGGGTGCTTTATTGACCTGCTCAAGGCCTATGAAACCATCAGTAGGCCTGGCCTCTGGGTTGTTCTTCGTGCTTTCCGAGTCCCTCCCCCACTGCTCACCATCCTTAAGGACCTTCATGATGGTGAGTGGCCCCGCGTCAAACTACGTGGCTGTGAGTCAGAGATATTCTCTGTACACCTTGGGGTGCAACAGGGATGTCCTCTGGCTCCAACATTATTTTAAATATATTTGGACCACGTAGTTCGTGAAGCCTTCAATGGCTATACCGGAAGAATTCCCATCTGGTAGAGATACAATGGGAGGCTGATCGATGCCCGGGTGCGGTCAAGGGATGGCTCCCTATTGCTCAACCACGTTATGTATGCCCATGATCTGCAAATTGCTGCTTACTCGGAGGAGGAGTTTAAGGTGCCGCTGCTGAACTTGGAGCTTGCCACCAAGAGGTGGGGCCTTACCATCAACCCCACCAAAACTAACCACCTGCCTGGGTATTTCGTACCATCGGATATTCCACCCCCTCAACTCCCAATTGGTGATGGGGCAGTTGTGGAGACAGTGGAGAGTTTCCCATACCTTGCCAGTGTGATAATGACCAGTTGCGGTTTAACAGCAGAGGTCTCACTCTGAATTAGTCGAGCCGCATTATCTTTTCATCGGTTGCGTAACGCTGTGTGGAAGCTACCTGGTCTATCACTATGCACGAAGCTTCAGGTCTTCTCGGCCACGGTCATTCCCTCCCTTCTCTACGCTTCTGAAACTTGGACCCCCCTAATGGAACATCTTCGCCGGTTAGAAACATATAGGATTGCCTGCCTATGATCCATCCTGGGTTTAACCAGTTTGCATTGTGTGAGGAGCTCAAAAATCCTTGAAAGATGTGGACAAAGTCCCATCGGTGAGCTCCTCCGGCAGGCAAGGCTGCGTTGCCTGAGTCATGTAGCCCGCATCCCCAGCCACTGCATGCCTAAACAGCATTTGTTCGGCCGGATCGAGGGGGCTAAACGGGCGTGGCATGGGCTGGAGAAGAGATAGAGTGATATGGTACAGGAGGACGTGGAGCTGAGTGGACTTGTCAATGACTGGTACCAACGAGCGGAGCGCCGGGTGGCTAAAGCACAGCAAGTTGCCACAGTAGGGGCCACAGGTGGTGCATCAGCCAGTCGTCTCAGTCGACCGGTGACAAAATAGAATAATTCAGATGGCAGGGGCGTGCAAGGGTTGAGTATTGAGTGTGTATTATAGAGGGTGCTTCGGGGTCACGAAAGGGTAGTAGGTATGACATTTCTCTCTCTTCTAATTATTCTGCTAATCTTAATACTTTGCTAAAGCTGCTCTCTCTTCTATCATCTTAAATATCTAAATTATTTTTCTTTCATTTCACTACATCTCATTATTTTGTTGACTTCTACTCCTTTATCTCTACTGGCTATTTGTCTTCCCTTATCTCACTGCATTTCTCGCACTTTTCTCTCAATTCCCAAAAACGTATCGATCACTTACACGTCTCAAATCAACGTCCTCGGTGAACAGTTGTGTAGGTGTAAATATGTTAAACAGGTAAACAACGCGAGGACGCACGGACACTGAATAGCTGAAGTTGCACTTACTCTCATAATATGCACTGAACCCTGTTAATACGACGATTTCGTCAGACGTGAATGTGATGTACATGTTGCTTCCAGATGAAGTCAGGGCTTGGGGCACAGTGACACCAGTAAATCTACCCAATTGGGGGTAATCTCTTGAAGGTCCATCGTACACCGTCACATAGTCATAATTTTGTTCAATTCTGGGAAAGAAACAGGTTAAGTTAACAAAACGTGTTATTAGTAATACTTATGTTGTATATGTTTAAAATGTAGGCTTTCGCAACCAATATTATCCATAATAGGTTTTTTTGGGTTAGATCGCGTAAATATAAATGTGTGATTAATATAAATGTGTCACAAATCAGGCTGTCACCTGATGATGCTCGTTATAATCACTGGCGAAATGTCGTTCTCGAATTTTGCTGTACTAGTGTAATAAGAGAGCGCCATCTACTGAATTATTGTTGGGGTTACATTACTTATACAGTCCACGGTTTATCCATAGTGGGGATTATATCGGGGGTAAAGGTGATTGGGCGGATCTACTAGGGAAGCCTTTGGAACGTTCTCGAAGGTTCCAGGAGGGGCGTGGCCAGAGGCGGGGCTCAGCCTCCGGGGAGCGAATATAAGCCGGGGGTCGGTGCTTGAAGATCAAGAGGAGCTCCCGTCGCTGCTACCCCGCCATCTCCACCTGCCACGTGGCGGCTCGACCTCCAGCCACTCAGCCGCTCCCTAGCGCGCCGCCAGCCAGCGGTGTGTTAGCGAGCGGTGTGTTAGCGAGCGGGGTGAACGCCACGTGGCGCGGGCGCAGTACTTACCGTGTCGGAGACACTCATTACACTAGTAAGGAACTGGCATGTTTCGTTTACGTGACAAACCTTAATAATTGACTGTGTCAGGCGGTGCCAGGTTTAACCACACCATTATATTTACTCGATCTAACCCAAAACAAACTCTTATGGATGCTTTATACAGTAGTAAATTATTAAGGTTTGCTCATATACACTGCTTTTAAAGTATTAACAGCAGTGGTGGCCAATATGTGGATCGCTATTTATGGGTGGATCGAAGGACAAAGAACAAATATTAACTTAAGCAGATATAGTGGCATGTGATGTATGTCTGTTGAACTTATGTTGCACCGTATGTAGCCAACCGGGCTAATCAGAGTTTTCAATTAGCTTAAAAGATCAACACAGCTGAAGAGACCTAAAACAAAAAGCTAATATGCAGCTCAGAGTAAGCTCTCTGACTCTAATTTTCTTTTAGATTTTTTTAAATTCTGGCCTCTTAAGATTATTTAGCTTTTTCATAATATTTTCCCTTTACATACGTGTTCTTATTGTCATACGAATAGTTTAGTATTTTCCTCTCTCAAACCAACGCATTAATAATTTTCTTTCCGGCCTCTCACGCTTCCCCTCCCATCCCAACCATCTCCTTCCCTCCTCTCACTCACACTCCTGCTTCCTCTGCTCTCCACCTGTGTCACCTTTGACTCCTTCCTCACTTTCTCTACCCACATCTCCGCTACTACTTAGCAATCTACCACTTTCGTGGTAGATTCAACCATCGGGAGTCCTGCAGTTCTCTTCTTCTTGGTCTCCCTGCTTCTGCTCTCCCTCCCCTCCAACCAATTAAAAATGCTTCTGCATGAAGTTATTTTCACTGTGCTTTAATTCTCAGCACTTTGCTTCTCCTCCTCCAACTCCGCTGGCTTTCCATCCACTACACCGCTGTCGATTCAAATACCTCACGCTCAGTCGTTATATGTCTCCATGGCCTTGCTCCACCTCATCTCGTCTTCCTCATCTCCTTATGCGTCCTCTCTAGTCCTCTTCATTCCAACTCTGCTCTCCGTCTCTCTGTTCTTCCTTCTCCCTGTGCCCAATTCCCGTCGTCGGTCCTTCTAACCTTCTTGCAACACCTCCACAGGAATAAACTCCCCCTGTACATTGACAAGTGTAATGCGAGCGTAAACGGGGTTCGCTGCTGGGCTCTGGCCCAATCATACGGCCCGGGGTATTGGGGGGCGGAGCCCAGTATGGGGGCATATGGGAGGGCCCGCCGTTCACCTCGGGTGCAATTGGAAGCGAGGTGAATGGGGGTGGAGCCAGCAGGGCGCTATGGGAAGGCCGGATCTGATGGTCCGGAAGGGGAGGAGACAGGATCACGTGGTAAAGGGGATATAGGTGGGAGCCCAGAAGGGCTCGGGTCAGTTGTTGGAGTGAAGAAGCTGGACCACGTTGGGTGGCCGGAGGGGATCCGCGCCATCAGCCACGTGGCTGGAGGAGCTTCGGCACACCGTCGCTTCACGCGCTGCTGTCCAAATATTCCCGACGTCTTTAGCAAAGATGATTTCGATCTGGGACGCACCTCGCTGCTCTCCCATCATATTGATACCGGGGATGCTAGTCCCATTCGTATGAATCTGCATCGATTGAGCCCAGCGGAGAGGGATCACGTCCGCGGCGCAGTAGATGATATGCTGGTCGCCGACATTATCTCTCCATCCAACAGCCCATGGGGTGCTCCGGTGGTCCTGGTGAAGAAGAAGGATGGTAGCCTGCGATTTTGTGTTGATTTTCGGAGGTTAAACAAAGTGTCAGTTGCAGACGCTTACCCCCTGCCACACATGGATGATTCCCTCGATGCCTTGTCTGGGGCGAATTTTTTTTTGACTCTCGACCTCTCTTCGGGGTTCTGGCAGCTCCCCCTGGACGAATCGTCGAGGGAAAAGACGGCTTTCCGTACGCCGCAGGGTCTGTTTCAGTTTAATTGTCTCCCCATGGGTTTGAACGCCGCCCCTGCTACGTTCCAGATGTTGATGGAACTCGTGTTGACCGGCCTGCAGTGGGACACGTGCCTGATATATTTGGACGACGTCATTGTTTTCAGCCACACGTTTGAGGAGCATCTTCAGAGATTGGATGCTGTTTTGCTAGGGTGTGTTCTGTCAATTTGAAATTTAAGCCCAGGAAGTGTCACCTTTTGCAACACTCCGTGCACTATTTGGGTGACATTGTCAGCCCTGTGGCCACGGACCCGGACAAAACGGCGTGCGTTCGGGACTGGCCGACTCCGGCCACGGTGGGAGACGTACGTTGATTTGTCAGGTTCGCTTCCTATTACCGCAGATTAGTTCAAAATTTTGCTACGATCGCTAGGCCGCTGCACCTCCTTACGGCAAAGAACCAGAGGTTCAAATGGGGGCCGGCGGAGGAGGCGGCGTTTCGCGGCCTACGCGATCGCTTGGCATCAGCGCTGACGCTGGATTACCCTGATTTCGCTTTGCCTTTCATTTTGGATACTGACGCTAGTGACACAGGTATTGGTGCCATCCTATCGCAGTGTAAAGGTGGCGTCGAGCGCGTTGTGGCTTACGGGAGCCGCGTTCTCTCTCCGGCGGAGACCCGCTATTGCGTCACCCGACGGGAATTGTTAGCTATTTTGTCCGCCATTACCGCCCGTATTTGTATGGCCAGAAATTCATTATGCGCACGGACCATGCGGCTTTGCAATATTCCCTGAAATTTGACCAGCCATCTGGCCAGCTGGCACGATGGCTGGAAACTTTGCAGGAGTTCTCGTTTGATGTTCAATACCGTAAGGGCTTGCGTCATGCTAATGCGGACGCGCTCTCCCGACTGCCGCAGGGGTCCACCTGCGCGTGTGCCTCTGGCACGAATAGGTGCACGCGGGTTCCACAGCCCCCCGTGGCCTGTCATGTCCGCTGTGGAGAAGCCCGCGGCTTCCACGTGTCCGGAACCGGCTGACGGGGTTTTGAATTTGCCGCGTTCCATGTGGGTTCGTGAACAATTGCTCGATGACTCGCTTGGGGCCTTGCGGAGTCAGGCTGCAAAGTCGAAGGGGTGTCCATCATCTGATGGGATGCCGGGAGCAGCTCTCCGTGATGGGATGTTGATGTGGAGAGAGGACTTGCAGGGTCGCTGGCGCCTTGTTGTGCCGTCGTCATTGTGATAAGAGTTGATTTGGATTCTGCACGCTGAGAAGTTGTTACATCTCGGGGTGCAGAAAACCTTGTTGACGTTGCAACATGATTATTTTTGGCACGGCATGACGACTGATGTCATTGGGCACATTCGGGCGTGCTCCGACTGTGCCCGGCGGAAGCTGCCCAAACAACCGTATGTTCCCCCAGTGCAGTCGATTAAAGTGATGCGTGTTAACGAATTGGTGGCGTTGGACATTCTGGGGCCCTTTCCCCCATCAGCTCGGGGGAACAAATCTTTGTTGGTCGGGGTCGAATATATTTCGCGATGGCCAATGGCTTGGCCTTTGCCCGACCAGTCGGCGTCGTCTATCACGGAGGCATTCCTGTTCGGGTACGTGATGGACAAGGGGGCGCCGGAAAGGCTGCTTATGGACCAAGGGCGAAATTTTTCTTCAAACCTATTGCGGGATGTGTGCAACGCACTGGGAACTAAGAAAGTTCGGACCTCTCCCTACCATCCAAAAACTGATGGGATGGTTGAACGGTTGAACCAGACCCTGCCGGCCATGCTCTGCCATACGGTTAGTGAGAAGCAGGCCGATTGGGATTTGCATATCCCAGGAGTGCTCTCCGCTTACCGGATGGCACCACATGCGTCGATGGGGTATTCACCTTTCTTTTTAATGTACGGTCGCGAGAATGTGCCGCCTGTGGAGGTGCAACTTGACACGCGGGCGAAGGGTCTTGTTAAACCCCTCCCCGATTATATTCGCGAGTCCGTTCGGCGCGTGGCAGAAGCGCGGGACGCGGCCCAATTGGCTATGGCCAAGACCCAGGCCCGGAACGAACGGTGCGCCCGGCGCTCTCATCGTGGGTCCCCTTGACGGGTGGGGGACATGGCCTGGCTCCACTGCACAAACCCTGGCAAGGGCCGGTGGTGCTGATTGAGGTTCCTAGTCCGCAGTCCGCACGCGCCGTTGGTACGTCCACACGTCCCGATTGAAACCCTATGTTGCCCCGCATGTCAATGCGTCATCTCCTAACATTTCCTTGCCGCTGTCTGTTGCGTCCGACGTGCCACTGCCCTTGCCTGTTCTACCTGCAAGCGCACCTGTCGTGCCTCCTTTAGACGGGCCGACGGTGATCCTACCGGACAAAGGGATTTCTGCACCGGGTGGGCCTACCACGGCGACGGGGGCACCTGCTTCTGCTGCCCCTCCAACCCCGCCGAGGTTACAGCTGCAAGGGGCCCCGATTACGGGCCTCTCTGATGAGCGGGGTGCTGCGAAGGACGGGCCTCCACCAGCGGTGGATGATTCCGTTTCCGCCGCTCCTCAAACCCTGTCGGGACTGCGGTTTCCGAGGGCACCGGTTCTCGTGAAGGACGGGCTGGCGGCCCGCACTCGTTCCAGATCCCTTCCCTTTCGTTGATTGTGTTCGCCGTTATTGTGCTCTCCGTTGTGTCTGTTGTGATTCGTGAATCTGTTGCCATCGCTCGCATTATTTTATCCTGTTTCAGCCAGGACGGCTGGTCTTTTACATCAGGGGGGGGGGGGTCATGTAATGCGAGCGTAAACGGGGTTCGCTGCTGGGCTCTGGCCCAATCATACGGCCCGGGGTATTGGGGGGTGGAGCCCAGTATGGGGGAATATGGCAGGGCCCGCCGTTCACCTCGGGTCCAATCGGAAGCGAGGTGAATGGAGGTGGAGCCAGCAGGGCGCTATGGGAAGGCTGGATCTGACGGTCCGGAAGGGGAGGAGACAGGATCACGTGGTAAAGGGGATATAGGTGGGAGCCCGGAAGGGCTCCGGGTCAGTTGTTGGAGTGAAGAAGCTGGACCACGTTGGGTGGCCGGAGGGGATCCACGCCATCAGCCACATGGCTGGAGGAGCTTCAGCACACCGTCGGCCAGCGGTGTGCAGAGTGGGGGAGCGGAAGGACTGACGAGGGAGCACGTGCGGGGCGCGCGTGAGGAGATGCTGGTCCGCTGTCAGGACCAACGGGGTGCGAGCAAGAAGCTAAATAAAGAGCAACGGAGACCAAGCAGTGCGGAGTGGAAGTGCTTTATTACACAAGTACTGCCCATAAACTCAACACTGCACCAAAGACTCAGCACGCCCATAGACTCAACGCTGCCCATAGACTCGACACTGCCCATATATTCGACCCCAAAGATTGGATACTGCCCGTAGACTCGACACTGCCCATGGACTCGACACTGCCTCTGTACATTATGGAGCCCCCCTCCATACCATCCTTCCATTCCTCTCAAAGCCTCACCTCTTCTGTTGTCTTTTCCCTCCCCTCGCCCCTCCGCTCCTTCCCGTCCCTTCCATACCCTTCCGTGAACCCTAAGTAGCCCTGTATCGCTGTGATTCATTCCTCAATTCTTGAAGCACGCCCCTGCCAACTAGAGGGACTCCTCTACTTACTATACGGAGTTAGGTTCCAGAGGTCTGTTCGTAAGTCTATTTGTTTGTAAGTCGAACTTTACTTCTGTCAATTCAATACATGTTGTACGGCATGTACACTAAACACAGGGAATGGCCCTAAAAGTTGTATATTCTCTTGGAGATGTAGACGACACTGGTTCTTCATGTTCTGCAGATGTATATGCCAACACCGCTATCTATTGCGCAGTGGTTGAACTTACGACCCTCGGTCCAAATAGGTAGCTGGACATACAGACACGTTTGTTAGTATCTCTGTAAGTTCCAAAGGCGAATGTTTGGAAATAGAAGAGTCCCTGTACTTCATTTATTTTTGTCATCGTTTTGTAAGCTATGTCAAGCGCATTGAGTGAAAGCGCTCTATAAATATACATTAGATTAGAATGTGTCATTTGCCTTGAAGCTTGCGGCATGAAAGCCACTATAAATATTGATTGTAATTATTTCCTACAAATGATATTCCAGTTGTAGAATCAGTGTCGTATCATCAAGCGAACACATTGTTGTGGGACATCTTACAGTGAGCATAACACGACTCTTGCGTCAAAGAACGGCCCCAGAAGATATCATCACAGAACTACTTCTGCAGTTACTGAAATATGCCTCTTCAGCCACAATAAGGTCACAACTCAAACATGGTTGGAATTAGCACTGGATTATGACGACACATAACATACAGGGGTTGTGTTTTAATGTAAGTTAATAATCCGTGTAAAATAAATGACAAATATTGTGTGTCAACAACACCTTACCTGAAGTCTGTAAACGAGAGCCGGATTTGTTTGTTTGCTGGAGAGTGGATCAGCCAAGTACAGTTTTCATAGTTGTCATAGACACTTGGGTAGTTTGGTGATGAAATGACTCCACTGGTCTCATTTAACTGTTTTCTACAAACATATGCTAAAAACAAAACAAAAACTTTAACTGCAAGCCTAATAGAGCACATTCAGTTGTCTAACCATACAATACATATGAGTGTGTACAGTAAAAATATACCATAAGCAGGCAGTATTTATATACAAATTAGATATTTTCTAGATAAAATAATAAAAAAACTCTCATTTGTAAAATACTTGAGTGCGATTGTCAAGTATATCATCACAGATAAGTGAAGATGTATTGTATTATAGTTCTGTCTATATTTGTTTGTGAAAAATCGAGTCTCAGGAACTATATTTATGATCCCTCTGTGAAGTGCTTTGCTCTATTTAAGACCACCAAACCCCACCAATATAAAACAATACACATTTAAACGTATAAATTGCAATACAAATTTGAATTCATGCCTTGTCCAAGAACGTCAGGACAGATGCAGAACAATAGGAATATTTTTTACGGAGAGGCAGTCGGTCATGGACAAAGGAAAAGGAAAGTCTTAAGTCTGGACTTGAACGGCGGGCAGGGAATCGACGGCAGAGGAGGGAATTTTCGTCAATGAGGGCAGTGAAGAGGAATAAATGTGAAGGAGGGAAAAAAACGGAGGACCCGGAAAAAAACTGGAGAACCCGGAAAAAAAATCCACACCACCAGGGAGGGAGAGAGACATGCAAACTCCAAATATACAGCAGGCATCATGGTCGGAATCGAACCCACGACCTGTATACCAGGCGAGGTAGTTAACATCTCGCAGCCGCGACTGGAGGCTTAAAAGCAGGACACCTTGGTTGCTGTAGCAGACAGCGCATGGAGGGGAGCAAAGCGAGATGAGGGAGGAGCGAGTCTATTGAGGATTTTGAAGACAGTGAGTGCAATCTTGACGTTTGAGTAATACCTTCAAACCTTCCACTAAATGTTGCATTTTTTCGCTGAAGCCCTGGAAGGTAAATGGCAACGACAGGCTTGCCTTGCAGGGTCATGTTTATGGACCCGATATGGCAGAAATATCTCTGCATATCCAACTGGGTGCCGTATCTATTTGACATTACAGCACCCACCAAATTGCTCGAGGAGCAACCCTCCATGCCGTTCTGTTCCGATGGGCTGTAAAAGATGCAATGCAACAGCGACATTAGCTACAGAAACAGGGTGAAACCTCAACTTAAAGCACTTCACATGGATGTGTTCCTCACATCTGCATTCATAATAGTGGTTCCGGCGTGAGTTGAATAAAACAAACCCGCTTAATTCCAGGAAAATTCGGAATTTATCGTTGTAGCTGCCATTGATAGCCCACAGGCAGAAGTCGTTGTCACTTTGTGAAACGTGGGGGATCTCCAGGCGTCCTTCGGAGGCACTGATGAGTTCGTAGCACGGACGGGGAGCTAAAAAACACAAGAGGCTGGCATCATGCGCTACGATTTTATCACGGAAATTAGACGATATTTTAAAAAGGAATTAACATTCGTGGCATGCATTGCATACACAGTGTAAAACTGATAGTATCTGCAACTACATTATCCATCCGTATTGGTATATGCAGGCTGCAAATTATTTAACGATACTGCATTGGCAGTGGTGCACAAGCACAAATTACAAACATAAATCACATTCGTCAATAACACTATGGCCTTTAAAGTATAATATATAATAGGTGACGTTTTTAGGGAAAAGGTGTTTCTTCAAAGCACACAAATAGAGAGGCAGAGAGATGGAATGCATATAAGTTGGAGGCTGCACTCTGAACCATTTTAGAATCAACGGGGCGGGCAAATCAGAATCTTTACTTAGGCTGGCAGAGTAATCCGATGAGCTATGAAGCTCTTTTTCACAGATGTCCAGTCTAGGCACAGGGTCAGCAAATGATCAGAGGGACGTTTGAAAGTCTTTTTGATCCAAACATTTCTTGACAGTCTCTCTAATTATATTTAAATGACAATCGGGCCCCTGAAATACATCGGGAAATGGATTACGTGGACAGTGGTACGTTTAACCTCATTGCAAAAATCGGTACCCATCATGGAATGTACCTTCAACATTTTATATTTTTTCCCTTTTAATACAAATGAGTTTTGTTTGTAGTACGTTCCTGGTTATTGAAGGATTTGTTAATAAATAGGTACTAATAGGTAAGTATTGAAATGCGAATTAAAAAAAACATTCAATAAACATATCTGTTATTTGTATCAGGGAAGTCTCCAACCCATATCCACTCTCTCTGGCCTCACTATTTATGTGCTCTGAAGGCCAATTTCCTGAAACATCATCAAGTACATTTCCTTTTAAGACCGTGATATCGATGAATGTGATAAGAGGGTTTTCCCCTTTTTTATGGCAACAAAACAAGTGTTTAGATGTTAAAACACCAAACTGAAATCTTTTACAAGGAATCATGTCTGCATTAACCACAATGATTGTGGTCAGAATACAAACAAAAACATTCTGATAATATATGCATTGTCCTTGAAACTGATCAGTTCGTAATAGAGTGGGCCCATGTGAAGGCTGCCATCTTCCACTTGGTTAAACACTAAGACTGCCAATTTAGTTTTATTGATTACTACAATCATAACGTTTGCGTATTTGCTATCCTTTCTGTATATCTCGCAGCCCCAAAAAGGGCATCTCGCATCTCCAGGGGTTGCGTGCATCCCATGTTAAGAACGATTGATGCATGCATCTGAGCGTGTACAGTATATCTGAATGAGCACGTTGTGTTGAAATGAATTATGGAGGTGTGTGTATGGATGGCTCTCTGTATAAGCGTGTCTGCGGGGATCTACGTTGGACGGATAATTGGTAAACCGGCAATTATTTTCAGAATCGTTTACTGATTTCGGCAAGTTAGCCAATATGAATACAACGAAAGATGCAAGAAAATTTCACAATCCCGTATTGAGCTGAATGCAAATTGTTGAACAAACCTTGAGGGCATTCTCCATCAGACAGGGTTACATTGTCTATGCCTACGAGGTAGATTGCTTGCATGTGTGTGTCGGCCACGAACTCAAGCTGCAATGAGAATGCACAAACAGACGTTGCCGTGAGTGTACACAACAAACCCTCTCTATTCGCGAGGGTTACCTCCTCGAACGCATTCGCGAATGCGGAATTCACGAACGCAGAAAGCTTGTTCCAGTGGGAAAAATTGGGTTATGTTCCTGGTACGAGTGAAGATATGGGGGGCGGGGGGTTGAATGGTAAATGTTTAATAACGACTGCAACAAACAATACATTATTAAGAACGTGTTTTTTTAAGATAAACTTTGATGATGATGACTATGAAGGTGGTGGTGGTGATGGTGAGGAATTCAGGAGGATGACCTATTGGAGATGCAGGTGTTTGATGACAATGCCGCACAGCTGTTATAATTGTATTACTCTGGGGAACACGAGCCGCAACACTTTCTCCGATTGCATTCGCGTTCTTTTTAATAGACCTCATTGTCGACTCGTTTATACTAAAATGTATAAACGAGTCGGCTGTCAGTACGTGTAAAGTAAAAATGCACAATAGCGAGTTCAGAGGGGGATTACTGCGAGACTGAGAACTGGTGTCGTGCACTCGCGGACACTTGAGTCCGACGGGTGACGCGAGTAGGGAATTAGTACACATTTAGTCACTCGGAGAAATGTGCGAAACTCTTAAATTCCAGAAGCCACGCGAACAGGGGAGGGTTTGCTGCGTTCTTAGTAACGGAAGCGCGCCCCCTCGTACCGTCAGACTCGCGCGGCTTTCTAACCCTCACCTGGTAGTTGGTGTAGTTGATGTTGACAAGTGCCCTGCCCCAGCGTGCATTCACGCCCTGGAGGGGAGAGGCCTCCCACAGGAGAGAGCGCTGCGCAAAGTCTGTGTCCGTCGCGTACAAGGCCAGCGAGGAGTTGCCATTTGCAACGACGCTGAACCAGAAGCTCAGGCACCTGGAGCCGTTCTGATGTGTAACGAGAGGGCCCAGCAGAGTAGACATGGAGTTGTACATATATTGGTTGATGCCCAGGAAAGCACGACCTGGAAAAATAGTAAAAAAAATAAAAAATGTAAACATTGTATAATACAGCGCAATAGGCATGGTTTGAAATATACACAAGTACTAGCTGTACTACCCGGCTTCGCCCGGGACATGTATCCACCACGGCCGGCCGCCTTTGTCTCCCCAGTGGCGATGTTAATACGCCACACCAGTTACTCGTTTTGCGGCTGAGTCCCTCCCTCACCACTCTCCCTCCCTCACCACTCTCCCTCCCTCACCACTCTCCCTCCCTCACCACTCACGCACGGCCGCCTTTGTGTCCCCAGTGGCGATGTTAATACGCCACACCAGTTACTCGTTTGAGGCTGAGTCGACCTAGGGGAGGTTCAAATAATCGTCAGCGGTGGTGGCCGTGAGCGGGAATGGAACTCGGTTCGCCGGGTTTGTAGCGCAGCGTAGCGTTAACCACTACACCCACCGCTCCTCACACACCACACACGCACAGACACACACACAGACACACACAGACACACGCAGACACACACAGACAGACACACACACACAGACACACAGACAGCACGCTAACCACTACACTACCGCTCCCCACACACCACACACACACACAGACACACACACAGACACACACACACAGACACAGACAGCACGCTAAGCACTACACTACCGTTCCCCTTACACAACACACGCGCGCGCGTCCATAGGTACACATACACGCGCTTCCTGCAGACACACACGACTGTCAGGGTGCGTACGGCAGTAAACGACTGAAAAAAGAAAGCGGCAATGTTGCGCGAGGAACGGCTTAGACCTGCAACACATTTGTGTAATGCGAGCGTAAACACACAAACACATACAAACACATACACACACATACATACACACACATACACACAAACACATACACACACATACACACATATACATACACACAGACATACACATACACACAAACATACATACACACAAAAACATAGACAATACACACACACATACATGCAGACACACAGACATACACATAACACACATACATACACA